GTTCAATGATACATTTATCATAACCTTAAACATGCTGTCCTAAGGATCTGAGAAGTAAAAGAATTTTTGAAATTGAAATGGTGGACCTGGCTACTAACACACCTAGGGAATATCATGACATGCTTATTGCTTGCTAGTTTTTGATTATTCAGTTCAGAAAATGAGTATTTGATATTAATGGTCAAATGCAAATTAATTGCATGAAGTCTTTCATTCCCAAACACCTGTTTCACATTAAGTTTTATGTAACATTCTGGTTTGGGTATGTGCTTCTGAATATGAAATACCTTAGGATATTTGTATTGGCTCTAAGTTTATTAATATATTTTACATTTCCACAATTCATTTACTGGTTTTTGTTCATGACTGGAGGTGGTGTTTACATGATAAAATTGTCAATACAGTATATACCAAAATACTAACTATAATTTATGAATTGTCTCTTAAGCATATAAACAATGTAAATTTAAAAAAAAACTAATAATTTTATCTGATTAAAATTCAGAGCAATTAGTAATTTAGTTGCCTATGTCAACAACATGTTGTCATGATTTAATTGAAACACTTGTCAAATGAGCTTTAATTGAGCCGAACAGCTACAGATAGATTATAGCATAACATTCACAAATATTTGAATGAGAATGTTATTTTTAATCTTATAACTAGATACCCTAATAAACTGCAAGGGCTCACAGAAAACAAAAATGTTACGTACATACACACATTATGACAGATTAAATTGAGCTGTAATTAAAAAAACAATCTTTTGTATGGGACAAATTATATGTAGATTTCTTACAAATCTTTCTACTTCACATCAGACTGAAAAGATTTTGAAAGGTAAGAACAGCTGTTTTTTCTTTAAGCAGATTAAAAAGCCTACACTGAACAAGCTTTTTCAGATTTTGTTTTCAGTTCGAAGAAGAGCGTAATTGCAGAAAACGTTTAGGTACTAATAATTATATCCATTATTGTAGGGTTTTTTTTTTTGTAGACCAGGTCTAGAGTTCAAACCAATAACTATAAAAAAATATGTTTTTAATAAAAGTAAAACCTATTTTCAGAAAGTATAGCAAGAACTGGAAGAGAAAAAAAACATTTTTTACTTTATAAAAAACACGATAAATGTTTGAGTTGATACTCCTGCAGAAAATGAATGCATCATTATTTCCACATTACTGCACTCTAACACAAACTATGTCTAAGTAGAGAAACACTATATTAGTAAATAAAAAATACTAATTTTTAAAGAATAAACATGGAGACTGTTGGTGGACTGGGAGATAGTACAGTTTCTACGAACATACCATAAAATATAACAAACTACTGTGAAGATTAAGAGAGATTATTAAAGTATCTAAGTATAAGCTCTTTATAAGAAAAGATGTTGTAATCATATGAAATTGACCAGGGTCATTAAGAAAAAAACATTATTCTGGACAGGTGAACAGCATGATGGGAAATGTCTTGAGATGCTCATTTGGTGTTGCATGCATTCTTATGAGATCACTAACCATTCCAGAGGTAAGCATCAGATGCTGGGAAATGGGAAGCAATGATAAGTTCTTATGTTACCCAATCACAATATTAAGCTTGCATCCAAGTCATTAAATGAAATATTATTAAATAGATTAATTCTTTATTGTTTCAAATTGTATTATTTTACAAAGGAATCATTAATACCATCTTTACTTCTTGCCTCATTGGCATACACAAGTGAATCATATTCCAACTTACCTGGAACACTGATATTATGTGCTTTTTCCAAACTTTCCACCTTAGAATACCTTACTACATTTAAGCCCCTTAGCAAATTTGAAGGAGAAAAGGATCGAACTTTGTTTTAGGTCTATGTGTATTTTAAAGTTGAATCCCATTCCTATAATTACTTAATGCTAGATTCAAAAACTGAACAAAAGAGGTTAAAGATTAAATGAAAGGGGCAGGGAGACTTTTTTTTTAACAAAGAATTCCATATATACTCATATAAAAAATTAAAATACAATAACAAAGAAATTTAATAGCAACAGAAAATATATCCTTCTGGCAATCAATGAAAATTAACTTTGGGAGATAAATAAGTACTGAAGAGAATTTGAAAAGATATATATATAACACTTGTCAAAGTATGCAAACAAGACTTGGTGCTGAATGATTACAAAAATAAAAAAAGGAGAGGAAATACCAAAAAATATAAATTCTTAATCAATATCTGCTATCACATGACAAAGCTTATACATTTTTAATCAATCTAAAGTTGAAGCAGAAGGCTTATTGTTATTTTTTTTATCCTCCCAGTAGCACTGCATGGCAAAAAAGATAAAATTTTGACTTCTTTTGTGGTCTTTAACATCTTCTGGCATGATTTACCACCTGGATTTTGATTTAATAACACAATCATAAAACAATCCCATAAGTTGTACTCTGAATGGGCATTGTCTTTGAATTAAATTGCAACTAAATGTAAAGAAATATTTAAGTAGTTTGACTACACAAATTTTCGTTTCAGCCATGGTTTGTACTCTGACAATATACTGAAACTGTTCAGGCTATGTGACATTACTGTAAAGCTAATCTACTTTTTTAACTTATTTGGTCTACAAATGCAAAATTCATACCGAACATGTGTTTCTTGTATTTTCATTGAGAATGTATACAGATGCACAATACAAGTGAAAAAAAAAAAATATCAATTTAATTTTGTACCATCAAATCCTGTTAAGCTGTTTGGTTCTTTTGTATGACTACTGTTGAAACAATCGTAAATATGCCTATTTATTTATTTATGGTGTACTAGATGTACTTCCACAGGGTCCCCAAAAGTGTTCTGTTTAAATAATAAATAAAACCAAATTTAAGAGTAACAAATATTTTTATTTCTTGCTTTTCAAAGTTACGTATCATATTGTGTTGTAGCCTACAGAGTGCATAATTCTTTTTAAGATTCATGGCATATGCACAATTTAATAACATCAAGACAGTACAAATTGCAACGCTAAGTATCCCTTATGCAACATCATTTTATTGTCTACTAACTGACTAACAGACAACACACTATAGCATAATGGTGTGACTGGTTAAAACAGGTGACTCCTCCATGTGGCCTTCTGCCCCATTTTGGGGAAATGAATATGGCAACACATGCAGTTATGTCATTATTTTGACTGAGAACAATGTAATAGAAAATGCACAGGAAGCCCACTAATTTAAAATGATTCTAAGCATGGCCAATCATTTATGAGTGTGTGCTCAATAATACACTTAATTCATTTCATGTTACTTGGCAACAGTATAACAAGATATGTAAAGAAAACACATTAATTTAGCATAGTAGGCAAAAATAATTTGTAAAAAAATCTTGACCAACCTACCCAAAAACAATGAAAGGAAGAAGCACTTAATTTATATAACTTTTATGTTCTTCCTTGTCAATAGTTATAAATAATAAATTAAATCAACATTTCTAACAAAGAGTGAAACTGAAATACCACTTTCAAGTTTAAATCGTTACTAATATTAAGCTTAAACAGCTATATCATTATCAGGTTACTTAAAGTTAACCTCAGTTTATCACTAGATCAGTAGATGATATTTACGTTATTAGCTTGTTTCAATACTACTCATTTTAATAGTGGTACAGGCTATTCTATATCTACTAGTGAGGCTGATAAGTGATATTGTGTGTGATAAGTATACTTATCAGCCCTATTATAGTATTAGTATTAGTAGAGCTAAGGCTAGTCATAAGAATGCTAAGCCTAAAAGTTAAAATATCTACAAGTACAAGCAGACGACGTCCCAAGCCGGTTGCCCGAGTGATAAAACTAAGGTTAATGCCATAGTTAAAAAAAAAAATAAAGTTACTATTCACAATTATTTTCCTAAACTCAAACATACCTTCGAAAAATCTGGAGAAGATATATTTAAACACTTTACTATTGGTGATCTCAGCCTTTTCAATCGCATCATACCCATAAAAGCCCATAATCTATCTACTACGTTCGGCACTCGACAGCAACCTCCAGCTGCCATCCCAGGACCTGATCTGCACGACCCGATACAAGTTCAGCGATATCACACTGAGTGAACAAGGTAGCTCTCGTTAAAACACGTTTTTCGTGAGAAGGCACCAAGCGTGTTTTCATTTAGTTTCATAAAAGGAATGCCAAAACGAATCGTCGCTCGGGTTTTTCTGTCGTTTTTACTAGGTACTACAAACAGGTAGCTGAGTGTTATTTTTCAGCATTACTGTTACTGACTGGATAACACCACAGACATTTTCCATTGGCTCACTCTGGTCCTAATAATCATTTTTTAGCCAAGACCCCGCTTGAATTTTGCTTGCTATCCATGGCCGACCCTCATATTCAAAAGTCACTATATCATGTTCCAGAAATCACAGGAAGGCCCAATTGGTATCAAAATAGGGGTTTTGGGAGTCAATGAATTTGATTATTGACATAATAATATTCTCCAGTTACTTAGAAAGTCACGAAGTAAGTAAAATGAATGGCAATGGCTACATTTTTGTCATGAATTTCGCGCAAAGCTACACGAGGGCTATCTGCGCTAGCCGTCCCTAATTTAGCAGTGTAAGAATAGAGGGAAGGCAGCTAGTCATCACCACTCACCGCCAACTCTTAGGCTACTCTTTTACCAACGAATAGTGGGATTGACCGTCTCATTATAACGCCCCCACGGCTGAAAGTGCGAGCCCTAACCACCTGGCCATGTTGGGCCTACGCAATAGGATATGTGCGCTCTTACCACCGCAGGAAACCAAAGTCGTATTATAGTGCTGTAAATACTTATTCTTACTGCTAACCTACCGAGAGGCGGGGAAAAAAAAGGTAGAATTTGGGTTTTTATAGTTAACGTATTATCAATGATTACTAATATATACATATATATATATATATTTAGAATAGTTACCTGTGATTCTTATATCTTGTCATAATGATTATTTTCTGTTTTCTTTAAGTATGTAAAACTTAAAGGCGTCAAAGTTTGTTGTTTTTCTTTCCATTTATGAAAACGTCTCAGTCAACCCCTTGTTGGCAGTAAAAATTATTAAAAACGACAAAATAACTCGAGTGCAAAAATTATATCTGTATATTTCTTTTTAAACAAAACCTCTCAAACGAATGTGTATCTCTCTCCCTCTCTTATTTATTTATAGACACACACACACACACAGATATAGGGGACATTGTGCGCTCGCGCATCTGACTTTCACCCTTTTCTTTTCAAACTGGAGAGACAGGTTATTCCCAGTGGTCGTTTGGGTGCAACTACCGTTGTTATTCTTCATTTTATAAATATATGCATATATAAGCATACATTTTGTAATTTTTTCATCTGTTATAATTTTTTTATAATCTTACTTAATGGAAAAATGTGTCCAAAATGTTCTATTAACTATTTTGTGCTTATATTTATCTCCTAATTACAGCTGTTGTAGTTATGTTGAATATATTCAAATGTTTCACACATATATATATATTGTTATAGATTATTTTTTAGGCGACGTTAACGACCCTGGCTCATCACATACAGACAACTACGTAAATTCTGACGCTAATTTCCTTTAACCCTTTGACTACGGCTGCTTCAAACGAGCTCGGAATTTTTGCGAGCCGTACACTGCACACATCATACTCACATTAAACTGCCGGAGGCGGACTGTACCCAAAACGGCGAATCAGCAGTCAATGGGTTAAAGCTGTTTAGTTGTGAAGATTATAATGATTTTAAATTTTACTCATATTAGACTGTTATTTAGAAAACTATATAACGAAAAGGACAAACTTAATGAGTGGGGACTTTACCATCAAATTATGTCAAAAAGTTTTTTATTATAGAAGTTATTTCACTAGTAATGGAACTAAATAAATGAATCTGTTTATTGCCCACATTATGATCAGTTTAAGGTCATTTTCCCATTTTACACACACTTTTTAAAATATGAACGCCAGTTTTAAACAACTTAAGTCTTCAGTATTTTATCTATTATTATGAGATAATTATTTTTAAGAGATGATATAATTTTAAAATGGCGCTGGCTATTTTATCATTGTTTGTATTTAATCACAAAGCTACACAATGGGCTTTCTGTGCTCTGCCCACCACGGATATCGAAACTCGGTTTCTAGCTTTGTAAATCCGCAGCTAATACCGCTGTGCCATTGGGGGGCTTATTTTATCATATGAACTGTTTATGCTAAAGTGTGAGGGTTCTCGTGTGTGTGTGTCTCGAAGTGTTTAAACCTTTTATTTTATGATATAAATGTACAACATACAAAACGCAATCAATAAAAAAATCTACACTACATTTCCGTACATTCTATAAATGTATTGCAAATGAAATTACAAATTCCTTAGTAGAGCCAGTTGCATGGCTACCAATGGAAGCTACTTATCCATACAAAAACGCTTGAGCAAAAAAAAAAATCTAATTTAGCTCAAACAGTAGACGATATCTCATAAGGACTGAAAATAGAACAACTTGATGTTACTCAATTTGCATTGGTTTTATTAATATGTTATATGACTAAATTTACATTCGGCTTAGTTCTTAATTCACCACATGAAATTTTGTTTAGTGTAACTCAGTAATGATTCTTAGGTGAATTAGGAGCCAGAGGCAAAGTTAAAATACGCACAAGAAGTAGCTGCTTGTGAAACTAGGGCTGTATAGAAAAATGCCCCCCCCCCTCCAAAAAAAAATTGCCACTCCCAGACTCCGTAAATTGGGTTTATAACTAACATTTGGGCTATTTCGCCTTTTTAGAAAAAAATATACTATTTTTTAAAATAATTTCAATGGGCGACTCCCCATTACAAAAACACTTCAAAATACAATATAGTAGTATGGTAAAATATTATACTTCAAAAATATTTATGTTCAATTTTGAATAAATATGTATATAATATAAATACGGCATGATTTAGAAAAAAAAAATGGCCTTGCTCTCCATTCCCTTCTCTATTTCTTTTAGTCGGAACGGGAGAAATTTCGGGGGTTTATCTCCCACCTTCTAAGGTCTTGAGTCTAATCAATTATGATTTTACTAACTCATACGTACATTCTTTCAGTCCTTGGTCCATTTATTAGCAAGTACTCAACGTTGAAAACATTCGCATCTGGATAAAACCACATGACTTGGATAGAGGATTCAGGATTGATTCTTTTTGCAAACTGAATGTAGAAAACCAAACACCATTCTTTCTGCAAAATGGATGTGACCGGCGTCTTGAGAAAGGAATTCAATATTGAGTGAAAGAAGTAATAAATGGTCTAAACATTTATCGGCCTGCTCTCACATAAAACACAAAATTTGATTCTGCTGGTGCATAACACATACTCGAGTTAGTGATATGTCCCACCACAGCGTCAGTAGTGCTATTGCACAGTCAATTTCAAAAATATGTATGCCATGCATTACCAACATTTTTATGTCTGTCCCCAGTTTCGTTTCTTGAATGCTTTGTTAGCATATTTCCACTCCCCTATGAAAATTCCCTTTATGTTACTATTAGTTACGCGCGTGTTTCTCTGAATAGTCGTTGGCCGAGTAGTGGTAGTCTATCCGTAATTTTGGTTAATTGTGGAAGGGGGGGGGGGTGAGCTTCTTATCCCTCCTATACGTTTTATTCTTAGAGAAATGACTTGACTCAGTAAACATCCGTTAGAGGGTATATTTTTCTATATATATAATTCACTTAATCTTGTTAACAAGTGAAGTGCATACATCTTTTTGAAATTCTATATTCGTGACGCTATGTTCAAATTTCATACAGCTTACATTTTATATATCGGCATTAATCAATAATTCATATTTACAAGGTGTATAAGTGAAATAAGTGTAAATTCTTTATCGACAGTTTTCAGGAAGAGTAAGATTGTTTTTAGACGATGATAAAGCTTGCTATTATATGTAAACGGTTTTCCCTCTTTTATTTTGGACTATGGTATGGTATTGAACAATGTAGAAGCAATTTCAGAGAAAAATATTAGTTTCATCTGCAAACATTTTAAGTGAAGGAAAGCTTTAAATTTCATTTTAGAACACCTTAAAAGCGTCCAGCATCCAGGGACCCAATCGGTTATTTTTTCCACCAATGATGGAGTTAATTTTTTGACTGAACGTCGACTTATGAAGCTACCCTATGCTCCTGCTCCAACAGATTGTAGAGTGAAAGAAACTGATGTAAAACAAAGTTCAAAGACTGAAGCAGTTGATGCGGTTCTAGACTTTCCACAGGTGCCTGAAGATTGCTAGAGGTTACTGACGCTGGGTGTATACCAACTTAAACAGGCGGCACTATATACACACAATAATACTAATACGAGGGTAGAATGTAAGATATGTGGGTCGGCAACGACTCAGTTCTGCCATGTATCAAGAAAAGTGTACTCTATCTCTCTCTCTATGTAAATACAAAAAATTCGAAGGCTGGGCAAACTTCCTATCATACAGATCCTCGTCTTTTAAATGCTATCTGTTTCGAATACACCCAGAATTACAAATAAATGACAAAAAAAGATGACCTAGTTATGAAATGACAGATCTCTCAAATTGAAAATTCTTTGACTAAAGGCTGATTGAACGTTATTCATGGCCGTATTTGGTGGAAAGCAAGTTATAACAGGTAAATTTGTATATATATTTTTGGTGCTTTGTTTGTTTTTGAATTTCGCGCAAAGCTACACGAGAGCTATCTGTGCTAGCTGTCCCTAATTTAGCAGTGTAAGACTAGAGGGAAGGCAGCTAGTCATCACCACCCACTGCAAACTCTTGGGCTACTCTTTTACCAACGAATAGTGGGATTGACCGTCACATTATAACGCCCCCACGGCTGAAAGGGCGAGCACGTTTGGTGTGACGGGGATTCGAACCCGCGACCCTCATATTAGGAGTCGAGCACCCTAACCACCTGGCCATGCCGGGCTTTTTAGTGCTATTCCATCTTACTTTTCATTTAAGAGAAAACTTGTTAACTGCATGAATGATAAGGATTGGCTTTGAGTTTTTGTTCTTTTTTTTTTTGTTTTTTTTTTTTTAATTTTTTTTTTTTT